CACAAGGTATTAAGCATCCATTTTAAAGATGGATGCAAATAGGTGGTCCATCTAAAAACAATTGAAACTAATTGTCCAAATAATTTCATAATAGAATTATTATTTTTATTTTCAAAATTTATTTATTGTTTCATATTATGATCTCCATGTTAAAGATTTCATGTCCTTAAACAATATGTCCAAAAATTTATCTCAAAAATAGATTTTTAAGAGGTGACTCATTTCTACATGGCCTCATATAAAAGGTGTCCTTTGATTTGGACTTTGGATTGTGATGGTTGTACGTGGTTTTTTTTAATGTTAAATAAAAATGAATTGCAAAGTAAAAGATTAGAACTAATTTAAATGTTCCTCGCAAAAGCTAATATAATTAGGGATCGTACACTATAATATCATTTATCTTTGTTATAAAGAGCCCACAATTATTTTTAACTATTAGACATCAAATTAGATAGCTTAAGATGTACCATTAAGTTCGAAAAACAAAAAAAACTTAAACTTAGGTTTAGTTAACGACACATCACAATTGTCAGATTTGAACTCTGACGAACAAGAGACTTTTCCATTTTTCATCTCCTCATTCTCTTTTCCAATGAGCAAATAAACAAAGGAGCATAAATAACAGAAATTAAAGGAAATAATAGAATACGCCCTCACTCCCATGGGAATGATATTGTGTAATAGTATTTCAAAATGGGACAGATCGTCCACCCTATAAATCTATGTTGGTTTGCTATATCGGCGATCAAGATCTTTCATAATTGACAATGTCATAATGATATTGGGATTTTTTTATCCGAGATTTTGGTGATTCATCAAATTAGTCATCAAATGATTTTTTTGAAAAGGAAATATTGGATTTTGATTTCTTGAGTGGCCCAAATCTTGCCCTACAAAAATTGATAGGTTCCGATTCAATCTTGGGATGTCTCTTTCTTCTCTTTTTTTTTTTTTTGAAACACACAGAGCATGCAATTTATTTATTTATTTTCTTTCAAACAGTTGTTAGGGCAAAACTAAGAGTACAAAAAAAAATTAAGAGTCCAAAAAAACTAAGACCTTTGATCCTAACAGGTCCCCAAAATTAAGAGTCCAAAAAAATTTCCTAGCTTGAGCTTGACCCAAAGCGGCAAAACTTTCCTTTTAATGAAATACATTCAAAGATTGCAGCTTAGTTGAGCATACCAAAGAAATGACTATCTATGTGCCCTAAGTATTCTACTTATAGGTTACCATAATGTCAGCCTTGATAATAAGAATTAACTTCTTTTTTTTTTATTCCTAGTTCATTTAATATTATTTTTCTAGCTACTTAATTTTCCATCTAGCTTTTAAAACTTTGTATTTTTGTTTGCTCCTATTTCATTTCCAGACTATATTTTAAACATTAAAATTTAGGTAAAAATAAAAGAGATTTTTTATTTATGATACACTAAATTAGTTTAGATAAGGGCAAATTTTCTATGCTTCCTCTACAGCATAGAAGTTCTATTCTTCTTTTTATCCAACCGTTCATTTTGAATGGAGGGCTAAAATTGCCCCAATCACAATGTCACGTCTCTACACTATTTATTTTTAATTTTTTTCTATAAACTATTTTGACACCAAATTTTGAATGTCCATTCCTCTATTAAACTCGCACTAACAAAAAATATAAAAAAAGATTTTCAATAAAATAAAATGACCAAAATACCACTAAAAGATTCAAGGGGTATTTTGGTCATTATATTTTATCGAAAAATTATTTTTAATATTTTTTATAGGTGTGTCCTAATGAGAAGATGGCACGTACCAAATTTCATATTCATACAATTTGTATAAAAAAAAACTAAAAATAAAATACTTTGAGACGTCAGATCTAAAATCAAACGGTGAGTAGCTCTCTCAATCAAAATTAGACGGTTGGACGATAGGGGGAAGATAGAACTTCTACGCTGGAGGAGAAGCATAGGAACCTTTCCCTTTAGATAAAACCCAAAAACAATGTTACATAGAGAGATTTTAAGATAAAATTTTAGGGAGACATAAAAGGATGGAAATTTTTAAAAATTTTGGAAGAAAAAATATGAGACGTTAGAAATTTGAAGGCATATATATGACATAAAAAAAATTAACAAAAATAAAAAATAAAAAAGAGAGAGAAGAAGAAGATAAAGAGTATGAGCTGACTAGCCCTAGCACGTTATGATGGATGGCGCAGATTGAAGGAGAAAGCAACCAACGGACAAATTTACATGTTTTTTTATTCTTTCTTTTTCTTTCTTTTTCTTATCCTATAAATAGAAGAAAGTAGGGAGCAGATGGAGTTCAGATTTTGTGCACGGAGGCCTCATTTGTGCATCCGCTATTGTCGGCTGTCTGGTTCATCTTTTCTCGAGTATACCTCTATTCTGATAACTGCATATCCAACCTATAATCATGATGCCATTGAAATTTAAATTTTCAATTTTCTATTGTCGTGGTAACTCCATTTTTTATCATTTACAAAAGGAAAATTCATCACGACCAATAATTAAGGTTTTACATATTCTTTTGGGCCTGCTTTCAAAAAGTTCATCAAGATACACCTCAAGTACACATCACACATTGCAAGAGATCACATGTTGAAGAAGGCTTCTAGAGAAAATACCAACATCTCACGTATTGAAAATTAATTTTAAAAGGGATTGTCTGCAAAGAGATCAATCATCTTTGTATATAAAAGTCACAATCATTATTATCCTTTAAATTTCAAAATGGGAGGTTGTAAGAATGCTATTAAATAGACACCAAGTTCCAAAAAAAAAAAAAATAATCGAACATTATAACTCACCCCCAAATAATCCAATTTATCTAAAGAGTAACAATAATTGTGACGTCAATATACAAAAGATAAATGGTCACTTTATAAACCATCCCTTAAAAGAAGAATACCATACCAACATCTCACTCTAAACAACCCATGAGGTAGATTAAATATCTCACAAGGGGGTTAGTAAAATACCACATACTGTAATTGGTATAGTTTCATCCAATATCTAAACGGGGCACCAAATGAAAACATCATATCTCATCGAGTGACTTCTTTGGTAAGCAATGTTGTTGAAAAACTACCAACATCTTATAAGGTACTTAGCGTGAAATAGTAAGTAGTGCTCAAACATACCAGATATCTTGTGTGCAATATAAAATTAAGGAAAGAGTTTATATAAGGTTGCAACCTTTAGAATCGAAGTAAAGTGAACCTCAAAAATCCAAGTGAGAGCGTTTCAAAGTAAGAAAACCTTCCAATTGATAATCTCGACCTCAAAATGTATGAATGTAAAGAAAAAAAACAAAACAAATGCTAAAAATAATGCATCTTAAAACAAGTTATTTAAGCCATCTGTTTCAAGTGTCTATATATCTGCTCGACCTGCTCCATTTTTAGAATTTTAAATTTCACAATTAAGGTTAAGTTTCTCACACCAGGATTATATCTTCAAGCAACATTTAGAAGTGCGACTTACTTGTATAGAGTGGGCAACTTATACAAATATCACCCTTAGTAGAATATCCTATCCAAAGACACCAATATAACTGAGTGAAATATTGGTCTTCAGATATACTAATATCTCACAAGATTGTATACAATGCGACCATTCAGTTTTTATAGAAGGAGGTCAAATTCAATATTAGTTATTGGATTTCATATTTAATATATTGTAGTTTGTCTCAACATCTGAGATTTTTTATTTTCGCGAGACATTCTCAACCGCCGATTTCACATGTAACGGCCAATGGTAGTTGTATTCTACTACTACCAAAAGTAAGTATTACATTAAAGACATTTCCATCTCACAAAGGTTCCTTAAAAGACACATCTAGCATAGATGGAAGATCCAAAGGAAGCTGCCCCTCCAAAAATTTCTAACCCATTATTCACTCGTTATGACATTGTCCTTTGATATCTTTTTAAAAAGGACAAAAATAATATAAAGTTGACACTTTAAAATGTATAATTAAAGCACACCTCTAAAATCCTAAAAAAAAAATATTGTTTTGATGTTGGAAAAATATCTGATTAATCATCTCAATATCCAAATGTATAAATATAGAATTTCAAGTCCTAAAAATAATACACATTGCAACACATTATCTCCATAGTCCATTCTCAAAATTGTCATGTTTATAGATTTGCTTGATTTGAACCATTTTATAACTAGAGATCAAAATAGATTCTCGCACCATCCTGAGAATTTTCGGCACCAAAATTATCTCACGATAAAATTTGAAGGTACATTTTAATTTGATTGTTTAAGGTTGCAACCTTATGCAAACCACACCCTATTAAAAATAGAGGAAAAGGAAAAATGTAAAATGTTTGATCGTGCACATCAGTTGTGTCATTCAACAAATTCTCCATTCATAAACAAGCCATATACCTTGAGTTGTCTTCAGATATTTTTATTACAAACTGGACATCAAAAGATTCTCTCGGGTGGGTTTCATGAGATGTCCAATTGGGCCTTCCTCCTAAACTGCCCTAATTAGGTCTAGGCAGTCACCTCAATAATAGATTCCATTCGTTTATTCAATTCACTTGGCCAACTACCGAGCATTACAATAACGCAGTTGACATTATAAATACCATCTCAAGTGCAAACCTTCAAGCCCAATCAGTGACACGCAGACAATAATTAGAGGCACAGAGGATGGAGTCAGAATGTGATTGTAGCATCTACGGATGAATGTTCCTGACGGACCATGGCGAATGGATTCAAAATGCACAGGTAATGTGTGTGTGTGAGAAAGAGACCACTTTAAGCAGCTAGGAACTTGTGATGTTGATGAAACAGATGGCTTTTGAATGAAATGTTTTGAAGGTAAAAATTCATGGCCCAAACTATTGGGGATAGATGGACATGAAGCAGCGGCAATAATCAAAAGAAAGAACCTGGAGGTGACTCCATTGCGAAGTCCGGAGAAGGAATCCCACAGAATTTCCAATGCAGTAGAGTATGGGTTCATGTAGACAAAAATGGCATGGTTAGAGTACTTCCTGTGATTGGATTAAAAACAGTGTCGCTCCTCTCGTGATTCTACACCCAAATCTCAGCGTTATTACAGTTTCATCAATGTTATCCATCTCTCTAGAGCCAGATATGTGCTAGTATCCTTACACAATCCTTCAACTTAAGTATGTTAGGAAGTTCCCAAGTTCAGATACTTACTGACAATTTGCCATCATTCAACATCCAGCAGAGAAAACGAAATTACAGTCCAAGACACCATATATACCTGCCCTATTATTGTAGAATCTTGGAAATGCACAAGTCATCTTCCACTGGTGGTTGGACTTCCATCATCCGATGTCCCTTTCCATTACACAGACCTGCGCTTCAAAGATCTATAATATGTAGGTATTCACAAATGGAACAATTTGAGCAAATTAAATAAAGTGAGACGAAACAGAAGGGCATTCTGTTTTAAATAAGTGAAAGAAAAGGCATTGTGGAGAACATGATTGTTATAGTTGGGGCTAATTCAAATAGCCATTTATAACTGTTGGGATCAATGATGCATCCAATTTCCCCCTCTTTTTTACTTGATACTAAAGCAAGCATCAAGTATAACACACAAACCACACAAATCACTTTCCTATGAAATGTCAAAGCATTCTCTTAAACACATACAGTGATTACATTGCAATCTCTGCAACTTGTGTTCAAGCTATTATAAATGTCCAACCTGCTTCATATACCAAAAACCCTTGTGTCCTCATGATGTATATCACAGGTTCAAGTCATGGCGATAATTTTTTCAATTCAAACATGAAAGATATGGAAGAAGGGGGCGGGTGTGTGGGTGGGGGTGGGGGAAGAGAGAGGGAAAGTAGAATGTCCCAAAGAAGAAAGTGGCTGCCATTGGACTAGTATTAATTCACCAGATCACATCAAACTTCCAAGTTTTAAGCATGCTTTTACAGTAGTAATTCTACATTGGGTAACTTCCCATGTGTGTACAATAAGGGTTTCATCTAAATACAGCAGTAACATACTTTGGCATACCTCAAAGAGCAACTTTGACGATGTTTAGTAATCCATTAAAAATATCAAGGGTGTTCCATAAAAAATGAATAAACTACAACATTCCTTTATCAACAAAAAACAATTGAACTCTTCACTCACTTGTTCTCGCTTATCTTGGCCAAATACCATGAAACTGGTGTCAATCTTGAACCAGATATGCTATATGCACATGGAGACAAATAGAGAAGGTCCGACATGAATTTAAGTCAGAAATCAAGCGCAAGTAGAATTTAGCAATTGTAAAACATGCTGCTTTCATGTCGCAATGGCTCATCTCACACAGCATCATAATCTACAATGTAACCAAATATAAAAGCTCTGAAGTCTGAACCAACACAATTCATTTACAAACATTCCAAGATATCTCCATGACTCTTCTACTCAAGGGTGATTTAATTATAATGCTGTTTCACATCCATGTGTCTTGTCACTCGACTCACTTACGTCTAACATAACCTTTGAAATCTTGTCTAATATAGGCACGGTCACACTACATCCATCAAGAAAATAGACAAGGTCAACAATGTTGCACATATGATGGGATGAATTTAGGGACGAAAGTTCATTCAAAATGAACGATTCTCCATTCCCAAATCACCAAGGAACATCTATTTGCTGATACTCCAAAAACCTTCGCTGATACTACTCCAAAAAATAAACTATCTTGTAAGTTCTTCCTTTTCAAAATTTCTACCTACAAGGATTGCCCTCAGCTGTGAGTAACTAAACATCAATTTCTGAGCTCGCCAACTCCAACAAACACACAAGTATGACTATGAATTATGCTCAAGGCTAGCTCAATTTATTATCGAAGTGTTCACAAGTACATCCCTGACCTCATGCTTTTTCTGGGTAATGCCATCGAAGCACTCAAATCATTTCATTCAAGAAATCATTTCATTCAAGAAAATAACTCACTTATATCACAACAAAATATTCAATATAGATACCACATGCGTACAAGGCACATGCAGGTATCATATGCCCACAATTGTCATACATCTAGAATGTACTATAAGGATCAGCAGAAAATGCGTCATAGCACCACTCAGTAAATACATAACTTCAGAAGTGCTGCCTTTGCTCATATAGTTAGTACAGCACTCTTTATACGATCACTGACTCGGACTTTGACTCGCCGAAGTCACTCAGACATGGCTCCGGATGAACAATCTAAATATCGGTCAGGTCTCAGAGAGTCCCAGTCCCCCTATGCAATTTAACTAGAGACTCAGCTGTGTTGGACCTCTGACACGGCCAAGTAGGCGGTTGACTTGGGCTCAGAACCCTTACTAGCCCGACCCCAAGTCCTGGTCCCGAGTCCAAGTCCTGGTTTTCAACACCGATTGTCAACAATTGTATATTCTCCAACCCCTCAATTATTTGAGGAGCACAAGAACAAAAATGCTCGTGATCTCATAACCTTCAAAAAACAGGCTTCACAAATTGCTACTCTTAAAATGCTCAACTTCACTTTATATCTTTCTCCCCTCTCAACTACATTCATGCTAGCAAGGAAACCCATTATTCTCATCAATTAAAAAAGAATAGGAAGTTGCAGACAGTTTGTTTCATACCAAATTTTGAATTGACGTTCTGTCCAAGTTAAACAAATAAAGCTTACAAATAATCAATTATTACTCCCGGTACAAAGAAAGATAGAAAGCACATGGAAGCGTAGAATTGAGGAACTTGTGCAAAGGATCTGAAGTTCAAATGCTTCCTAAATACTCCACAAATAGTAACACAACATATTGATAAAAAAGTAACCACCACTTATAAAACCCTAATATCCACGAATTCTCAACAAAAAAAACCCTAGAACAAAAGTAACAAAAGAAAGGGAATCATCCACAAAGATTACTATACAATAGCAGTAGCTAGTAAAGATTTTAAGAAAACCTGATTGGCAATCAAAATTCACACATAAACCATATCAAACACGTCCCAAACCCATCCATCAGTAGAAATAGGTGAATTCACAACAAGCCCATACAGAGCCCTAAATCTCCAAAGACCTAGTTGCCATGGAACATCTAAAATCTCATAAGGAAAAAAAAATTATGATAGAGAATAAGATGAACCCATTCCAAACCCTAGAAAGATGTTTTGAGAGAGACGAATACCAAATCAGTTGTAGTAGAGTTCAAGGCCCATTCCATCGTGAATCTCGTAGTCCTTGAGGGTTATGTGGTCCTTGTAAATGTTGTACCATTTCTGAATGCGAATTTTGTCAGCTCTTGTACCAGTTTGAGCAGCTACGAGCTTCTTGAGGTCCCCAATTGTGTCATCTTCGTTGCACTTCACCCTAACCTTCTTTCCCAAACGATCGTTCAACACCACCTCGATCATCTTCTCTCTCTCTCTCTCTCTCTCTCTCTCTCTCTCTCTCTACAAAAACTCCCTTCCTCTCTCGAAGGAAGACCCTTTCCTCTCCCTTCCCCGCGTCCTCTCTCTCCCCTGCAACACTCGCGCTAGCTCGATTTTTCTCTCTCTTAATTCACTGCGTCAAACTTATAAATAAAGGGAAAATTAAGCGATAGTGAACGGCGTGCAGAGCAAGCAATTTCTGCCATGGTAGAATTCCAGATATGCCACCGGCTCCACCAGCATATTATTGGACCTGTGCGATTTGTATAAGGCCGAGGCTCTAAACAATCAAAGTAAAGCTCACTTTTGAATACATTTGAGAGATGCGGTTACCGTACCCAAAATCTTTTCGAAAACCTCAAAATATATTTTCATCTCTATTTATAAAATTTAAAGTTTTAAAAATAGTATTTTATACCGAACATATATATAAAAACTTGAAAATTAACAATCCAAAAATGTATTACAAGATGCACTATTTTCAAAACTTAAAATCTATTTTTCTTCATGTTCATTCATCTTGATGTCAAGATGGTCAATTTGAGGATTTTTGAGCATCAAAACCCTTTTTCTATTGAAATTAGTTTTCACAAACAACTTTTTTATTATTCTTATTATCAAAGTCTTTTTCTAACTAAATGGTGTGGGCTGTATAAATCTTGATCCAAGTTCTATACTATATCTATATAGAAAATAAAAAACAATAAATTAGCAAGTTTATGCTCACACAGGAACATATTATGCGTACTCTTACATCGAGCGACAAAGTTACGGCTATTTTTTACATATGATATTTTAAGATTCATGAATCATGGAATTATTTTTTAAAATTTTAGATATGGAGTTCTCCAATAATATGATTTAGGTATCGAAAATATTTTAAAGACACACAGGGCGCCTGTGAATTTTTATTTATTTATTTATTTTGAGTTGGCTGATGGGTTGTAGGAAAAATTTCTTCGCTTAGAGTTATATGAGAAAATGCTCTACGAAGGTGAGATAAGATATTTTTTTACAACATCAATAAAAAATAAAAGGATGAGGTTTTGTGGCAACACCTCAAATCAATGATTTAAAAATCGGCGTCCGGTTCGACTCTGGAATCTGCACAGCCCGTGCCGGTTCCAGCACAAAATCGGGAACTGCCCGATTCTAGAGCAGAACTGCCGATTCCCACCCGATTCTGTCAGGTTCCCTCTCGGTTCTAGTAGTTCCCACCCAGTTCTGTCTGGTTCCCTCCCGGTTTCAGCGGTTCCCTCCTGGTTCTAGCCTCAAAAGCACCTTCACACGTATGTATGCATCACACGTGCGACACGCACCACTCCCACACATGTGTATACCACACACACTCCCACACATGCCATACGCACCTGCACATGTGCATCGGTACACACTCCCACACGTGCCACACACGCCATATGTGCCATCGCACATGCACTTGTGCATCGGTACATACTCCCACATGTGCACGCGTGCATGTCACACTCCCACACGTGCCATACGCACATGCACATGTGCATTGGTACACACTCCCACACGTGCCACACACGCCATACGTGCCATCGCACATGCACTTGTGCAACGGTACACACTCCCACACGTGCCACACGCACGTGTGCACATGTGGTTCAGGCCTCAAAAACACTCATACGTGTGTACATGTCACACGTGTGATACACACCTCTCCCACATGTGCACGCGTGCATGTCACACTCCCACACATGCCATACGCACATGCACGTGTGCATCGGTACACACTCCCACACGTGCCACACACCATACGTGCCATCGCACATGCACTTGTGCATCGGTACACACTCCCACACGTGCCACAGATGCTACCACAGGTGCGACACGCACGCGTGCACATGTGGTTCAGGCCTCAAAAACACTCATACATGTGTATGTGTCACACGTGTGATACACACCTCTCCCACATGTGTCGTACGATACACACCTCTCCCACGTGTGGGAGTGCCACAGGTGGGCCACGTAAATGCATGCGTGCACAAATGCCCTAATGTTTTCACACTTGTATTTATCTTCCAATTACATAGTTATTTATATGACATATTTGAATACTCATCATTCGATGTGGGATAATTCCCAAACATCATTAAATGAAAACAAAATGTAAATATATACTATTAATAGGCAATTGTAAACACATATGCTAAGGAGGCATGATGGTTATCACTAATATTATTTGCTTTGACTTCTCAAGTTCAAATCCCCCCTTGGGCCATGTTTGAATCCCCCCTTAGGTCATATAATAGTTTATTTCCTCTTGAGTTAATTTTTGTTCCCCCTTGAGTATATAATAATTTTTTGTTCCCCCCCTCTTAAGTTAATTTTTGTCTCCTCTTGGGCATATAATAAATTAAAGTGTTATTTTCAAAATTTTTACGCTATTTTATTAATTTTTCCATTGATAACCAAATCTTTTATTTTATTTATTAATTTTTATATTATAAATCATGTAATGTACTATTTTTCTTACAGTTGTTAATACTACATTTTAAATTAGATAATATTATAAAATATTTTTAATTTGTTATTATTTATCTAATAAAATAATTATAAAATGTAAACTAATAATTATAATTTCAGTATATAATATTATAATTAGTTAGGTTGTAATAATTTTGGATTATAGTTAGTTAGGTTGTAATAATTTGGGTTTTTTTAGCAGATTAGGATTTTTTGCCAAAACGATA